TAGGTCTGAGAAGAATGTTGCTGGTAATTTGATGGGTATTGCATTAAATCTGTAGATTTCTTTAGGTAGAATGGACATCTTAACAATGTTGATTCTTATCCATGAGCATGGAATATTTTTCCACTTGTTTGTGTCATCTTTGATTTCTTTGAGCAGTGTTTTGTAGTTTTCATTGTAAAGGTCTTTCATGTCTATGGTTAAGAAGATGTCAAGGTATTTTATTTTGTTTGCAGCTATTGTGAATGGAATTGTGCTTTTTATTTGGGTTTCTGTTTGTTTATTATTGGTGTATACAAATGTGATTGTCTTTTGCACATTTATTTTATACCCTAAGACTTTGCCAAAGTCCTTTATTAGTGCAAGGAGGTTTTTAGCAGATTCTTTTGGAGTTTCGAGGTATAGAATCATGTCATCTGCAAAGAGGGATAACTTTATTTCCTCTTTTCCTATTTGGATACCCTGATTGCCTTCTCTTCCCTGATTGCTCTAGCTAAAACTTCTAAAACCATGTTCAACAGGAGAGAGGGCATCCTTGTCTTTTTCCAGTTTTCAGGGAAAAAGGTTCCAATTTCTTTCTGTTTAGCAGTATGCTGGCTGTGGGTTTCTCGTAGATGACTCTTAAGAATTTTGAGGTATGTTCCATCTATGCCTAGATGTTCGAGGGTTTTTGTCAAGAAGAGGTGATGGATTTTATCAAAAGCTTTTTCTGCATCTAATGATATAATCATGTGGTTTTTGTTTTTATGTCTGTTGATGTATTTAATTATGTTTATGATCTTACTAATGTTGAACCAGGCTTGCATCCTAGGGAAGAAGCCTACTTGGTCATGGTGGATGATTTTTGATATGTGTTGTTGAATCTGGTTTGTAGGATCTTTGAGAAGTTTAGCATCTATGTCTTTGTTGGATCTTTACCTGGCTTGGATATCAATGTGATGTTAGTTTCATAAAATGATTTGGGGAGTGTTCCATCTTTCTCAATCTTCTGGAATACTTTCAATAGGGTTGATATCAGTTCCTCCTTGTGTGTTTTGTAGAATTCTGCTGAAAGTCATCTGGTCCAGGGCTTTTTTTTGTAGGTAGTTTTCATATCACAAAGTCAATTTCCTGGATTGTGACTGGTCTATTTAGGGTCTCGGTTTCTTTTTGCTACAACCTGGGGAGGTTGTGTGATGTCAGAAAGTCCTCCATTTCCTTTAGGTTTTCAAGTTGGTTTCCATTCAAGTGTACATAGTAGACTCTGATAATCTTTTGTATTTCTTCGGGGTCAGTTATGATTTCATCTTTTATGTTTCTAATTGAGTTTATTTGAGCTTTTTCTTGATCAGTCTAGCTAGGGGACCATCAATCTTACCTTTTCAAAGAATCAGCTTTTTGTTTCATTGATTTTTTGTATTATCTTTTTGTCTTCTATGTCCTGGATTTGGGCTTTTATTTTGGTGATCTGGATTCTTCTGCTAAAATTGGGGTTTGAGTGGTCTTGCTTTTCCGGCTTCCTTAGGTGACTTGTTAGGCTGTTAACTTATGATCTTTCCATTTTCTTCCTGTGTGTTTGTAGAGATATGAATTCCCTTCTTAACTACTGCTTTCATGGCATCCCAGAGGTTACAGTAAGATGTTTCTTCATTTTCATTTGTTTCCAGGTATCTTTTAATCTCTGTTTTGATTTCCATGTTGACCCAGGAGTTGCTTAGCGTCATGCTGTTTAGTGTCCATGCCTTTTTGGGTTTTGGGGGAACGTTGTTGGTGTTGATATTTATTTTTATTCCACTGTGTTCTGAGAAGATGTATGGCAAAACTTCAATCTTATGAAATTTGTTTATGCTTGATTTATGGCCAAGATATGGTCGATCGTAGAGTACATTCTATGTGGTGATGAGTAGAATGTATATTCTCTGGTTGTTGGGTGGAGTGTTCTGTAGCTATCAATTAAGTCCATTTGGTCAAGAGTCACATTGAGGTTCTGGATCTCCTTTTTTGTCCTGATGATCTCTCTAGGGTTGTGAATGGGGTATTAAAGTCCCAGCTATGATAGTGTCAGAGTTAATATCTTTTTTGAGTTTACCTAGAAGCTGCTTTATGAAAGTTGGTGCTCCTATGTTGGGTGCATATATGTTTAGGATGGATATTTCTTGCTGATAGATTTAACCTTTTATCATTATATAGTAACTTTTGGTCTCTTTTTAAATTTTTGATAGCTTAATGGTATTTTGTCTGATATTAAGATCACAACTCCTGCTTTCTTTTGTGTTCCATTTTCCTGAAATTTTGCTTCCCATTCTCTTATTTTGAGTCTGTGAGTATCCTTTCTGGTGGGGGAAGTCTCTTGGAGACAATATATTGTTGCCTCGTGATATTTTATCCATTTTGCCATTCTATATCTTTTCAGTGGTGCATTTAGTCCATTCACATTCAGGCCAATTATTGGAATGTGAGAGTTTATCCCTGTCATGAGGTTCTTAAAGAGTTCTTGTTGCTGTTTGTTTGTTGTCTTTCTTTTGATTTTTGGGTTGATTCATGTTGTGTTTTTAATATTTTTCCTGCACTCTTTGAAGAACATTGTCATTCTTTTTTCCCTTTCTTCTGTGTTTAATACTTTCTTAAGTATGTCTTGTAGAGCTGGTCTAGAGGCAACGTAAGTTCTTAGGGATTGAATGTCTGGAAAAGATTTTAATTCTCCCTCACTGATGAAGCTTAGCTTAGCTGGGTAGGTTATTCTTGGTTGAAATTGTTTATCTTTGAGAACTTTAAAGATTGAGCTCTAAGCTCTCCTAGCCTGAAGTGTTTCTGTAGATAAATCTTCTGCTATTCGAATTGGTCTTCCCCAGAAGGTAGTCTGACCTTTTTCTCTTGCTGCCTTTAGGATATTTTCTTTTATACTCACTTTGGTTAGTTGATTACCGTGTGTCTAGAAGTTGGTCTTCTCATTTGTTGTCTTTCTGGGGTTCTCTGAATCTCTTATGTTTGAATGTTTGCATCACTGATGAGATGAGGGAAGTTTTCTTGAATAATTTCATGGAATGTTTGTTCCAGGGTGGTCTCTGTCTCTCTTTCTGCCTCAGGAAGTCCAATTACTCTTAGGTTTGGCCTCTTGAAATAATCACTCA